ATAATATATTAGGGTGTCCCATATATTTCTTCCCTTTTTTTGATGCGAAATGAATACACGGTATTTGTTGTTTAATGTTGATTTATTATGTTATATATGAACCGTTCTGTTCTATAACCTTCCTCCATCTCTCAGGAAGCCTCATTATTCCCTCTTTCTAAAATTGTTGAGGCTTACTTTCAAAATATTCATCTAGGTGCGTTTTTATTTCGCTTATGGATTTGAAAGATTTGAGAGAATTTTTTAAAGAGAGGAACAAGTAATAATCGGATGGTGGTGCAAGGTCTGGAGAGTATGGAGGGTGAGGTAGAAAGTTCCAATCAAACTATAATAATTTTTGCCTTACGGCTAACGCAACATGCGGTCTTGCGTTGTCGTGATGGAATACGACACCTCGTCGGTTCACCAATTCTGGCCGTTTTTCTGCTATAGCGGCTTTTCGTTGATCCAGTTTATTGCAATATTTGTCAGCATTGATCGTATCACCTTGCGGAAGGAGCTCGTAGTACACTACACCCTTCCAGTCCCACCAAATGCACAGAAAAAGCTTCTTCGGATGAAGCCCAGGCTTCGCAACAGTTGAAGGTCTATTTTCTGTAGACCAAGTGCGTTTTCGATGCACATTTTAATACAAAATGCAGGTCTCGTTTCCAGTGACAAGACTCTTTAAGAACGGATTTCTTTCGTATCGCTGAAGAAGCAAATCGCACTTAGAGATGCGGTTCATAAGGCCGGTCACCGTCAATAGGTGTGGAACCCAAACTTCACATCGATTTGCATATCCCATTTTGATTAAATGCTTATGTACCGTTGTCGTGGGAATGTTAATGGCATCCACTATCTCATGCACACTATATCGCGGATTTTCAGCGAGCGCAGTCTTAATAATGTCCGTATCTGTCGTTGCTGGGCGGCCGCTGCGGTCTTCATCTTTCAACTAAATTTTTAAATGTTAATAACCAATTAACGAAGCCCCAAACGCAATTTTCTCTCTCTTCATTTGCGTCTTATTTTTGACCATAGAACACGTCCTCAAAATATTGCCCACTAGTAGGTTTACACACTGTATGTTAGATATTTGGATTGATATTCAGATAGATTCGTTCTTCAAAGCGTCTGGGATAAGTGCCGTGCCGTTTCTCAGTCCTCTCACCAGAAGGTCTCATTACCCTCCGTTCTGCGTGGCCACACCCTCAAAATGCTTATCATAAACATCCGACATCCTGGCTTCAAACAACGGCCACGACTTCTCGGAACTTTCTACCTACGCTGTCATCCACAATCATCGACTATCGATATCTCTATGCACAATATACACAATGTGTGCAATAAAGATTACGCTACGTATTGCCTACGTGTCAATCTCGACACGCACGATCATCTTTAAAAACGTCTTGCCGCTAACATATAAATAACAAATATTAATTTTTTGATTATTAAATAATAATTGGTAATTGAATATTGGGTTTAACTGAGTTTGCAAAAATATAACATCGATAGTTTTTGCGTCAAAACAGAGGTATGAAATACTAAATTTCTTAGTTTTTAACGCCTTTGCTGAGCTCCAAAGATCCAGCTAGGATATAAAAATAATAATTGATGTGTAATCACAGATGTTAATAATGATCGAAAATGTAGGTGCGGCGTCGCTAATTGTAAGACGACACGACGGCGATGCGGCGTCGACACGAATAATTTCCCGTGGTAATTATCTGGTTAAAGAGTCACGGACGCATAAGTAAAAGATCTACAGTATATATGTACGTACGTATCTATGTATAAATATACCTATTGAACATACCGTTTACGGGAAATGAAATAAATGAGATAACAAGGACGACGAGTGTACGATTTAAAAGAGAGCTCATCTTTTGCGGTGGAGCGCGGCGCGCTTGAACGAACGTTAATTGCATGATCAGGCATAAATCCTAGGCTCGCGCATGGGTATTTGCTTACGTCACGCACATTAAACTCTTAACTCGAAGCAAAAAACGCGTACGTACGTATAACACGCTTCCTGCATTATCGATCACCGAAGCGATCCCCGTGGAGTGGTTAAATTAAATTCCGAGCATCGACCGATCGAAAGTCGATGCATCGCGCGTCGGGGGTCGATAAGCGATGCATAGTCATTGATTTACGAGCCGTGAAACTCGGATAACGAATCCATTCGGTGGAGTGGATAATACTGGGTTGTCGCGCCTCGATCGATCGTACGCAAATCGCTCTTCATCGATGATTTAAACGCGTAATATCCGTAGCGAGTCTAATTTCGAGGACGCAGCCTAATCTAGCAGAATCTATATACGTTACATCTCGGTCCGCGTTGAGCGTATCAAGAATAGAAGTGACAGCAAGATTGCAGACCAATGATTAAATCTTCAATTCAATTGAACGTCAATTGGCATTTAACGTTTGGCATTTGATTAATTAAGAATTGCAATTATTTAGTTAGCTCGATTAGAAGAAATTCGAATTAACGATTGAATTTTTATTCTTTGGTTGTCGATTGAGATTTAGAGAAATTTAATCGTTAATTGTTAATATGGTAATTAAAAAATCTGCAACTCTGGTTGTTATATTGCTTGTATATTTGTAACATGAGAGATCTTGATATTTCTATTGTAGTACATTTGTTAATATTTTAAGATGCTTTATGACAGTTTATGGACGCATTTCGTTATTTTAAATAGTATAATTCAGTGTTAAGTGCAAAGTGACATACGCATTCATACGTATCCTTTTGTCTTTTACAGAATGTCTGAAAATGAGCAAGCTACGCTTCTAACTCTGATGGATACGACTGTGGCGGAGTTGCAAAGCCTAGCAGAACCAAAGCTTACCAGCGATTTTCCGAGAACGAGATTATACCCAAAGAATTCGTCGCTGTTAACGAAAGCTGGTGGGAACATTGCGCAGAAAACAAAACAAGAGCAGCTGGAAATTTCAGCGACGTCAACTATTGTCGACGACGAGACCACTGAAAAGTCTAATGTGACTGACAATTTTGAAGAAGGATCATTATTACCGAATTTGGGTGACCAAGAAACGCCTGAGGTGCTGGTGGTGAGAGCCGAACAAGTTCCCATCACTGAATCAGATTCGAAAGGCAGTGGTATTAAATCTGGTGAGACTACAACTAGTGAAACTATAACTACTGAAAAAGTCGATGGGCCATTCATAACGAATCCAGAGTTGATCGATATCGAAGCGGAGGCTCGATTACTGGAAGATAGTAGAGACGAAGTTACTGCGACTATTCTCGGTGACGAAATCGTACCTGTGGCGTCTACTAGTCCGCACGAGGACATTCCGTCTTTCAGCGAGTGGACGCAGAAAAGATTGGAAGAAGCTGAAAAGAAGAAAAGTGAGTATAATCAAGAAGAAGATACAGCAACTCTCGTTAAACAGTAAAGTTTTTGTCCCTTATACTTTTAACAAAAAAGGTTGCGATGTACGGTGTAAACGTACCGCTGTACTTTTCTGCTTTTCTATGGTACTTAAATCCTCAAATGCTAAAACTTTCATTCTACAAAATATTAGCAATAAACGGCCTAGCTAGATAAGAGGGTCAAATGCGCCCTTGAGCCGAATGAAGCGCCGTTTGCGAGATTCGATACCTTATCATACATTTTTATGTTTCGCTACATTTTTCATGCTCGTAGTGTAGCTGGATATCTCTGACAATTTTTCCAGATTTTTTCCTTGCAAAATGTAACCGTGAAAAATAAAAAAATGTTAAAAATAATTTTTTCANCTTCTGGGCAGAACTCTGCGCAGTGGACTGTATTCTTGTCTCGATCAGTGCAGCGGCTTTTCCAGCAAGTCCCTTGCCGTGAAACGGAGCAGAATCACGCTCAACGTTCGTCTCTCCACACCGCGTAACTGGTGGAAGCTCGTAGCAACGAGCTTCGAGACCTGACCCTATAGGGCGCGATGTAACTTACCGCACCAGGCCGGCCTCGAGGATGACGAACTGCAGCAGTGCGTTTAACGCAACGGGGCTGCCCAAGCCGTCAGCCGTTTCTAATTCAATCTTAGAGGTGGCCTAAGACGGTGGATTCAGTCTGCAATCGACCAATGAACCCGAGTTGAACGCAACTCCGAAATGCCCAGTTACTGGAACAAATCGTGGCTCTTATTCGCTTCACCGCGAACTTCTGCGTGGCCGCTATTTCCTTGGATCGAGGTTCCTCCTAGCTTGGAACTTGTACGTCTTGCCAAACCGGCGATTCACTACGTCTTAATTCGCGAGTCGAACTACTTTTTCGCGATGTTCGCACCGTGACAATCCGTCGTTGACTCAGGCGGAATCGACGTTCTAACGCTCGGACACCGACCTCGGCGCGTAGCGTAGAAGAGTCGCGCCGATCCGCTCTCTCACTCGCTCTTATTCCTTTTCCCACTCTGCATATCCAAATTTGAATTCTCCGATCCGTTACCGGTCGGGCATTGACTTCGATCGCGGGAAGGCAACGATCCTCCGTGCAGTTTTTTGCCGCGCAATCCGGCGCGTGTCGCGATAAACACTCGCTCCGGAGGTCGTCGAACACCGATATGTTATTGTTCTCGCGGTTAGCTCGATTTCTACCTTCGGAGAAAAAACCTCAATCCGAAGGCCGTGCTAATGACCGAACCGCGAATCGAATTTACGAAATTAATCCGATTTTTAAACACTTGCACTTTAACATTAAACGTCTCCGCAAGGAGCCGATTGTTTTTCATTCACAGAATAAATTTCACTATCCGCGTGGCCCGTGAACTACACGATGCGCGGAGGGTGCGACTCGGTCGGGATGACGCTCTTTTTATTGGAATCGGCGGATAACTATCTTCGCGTTAGGCGAATACTCGGATCATTTCGTAATACTCTGTTGGATTTTTCGGGACCCATCATTGAGTTGAGGTGCACGACTCAATAATTACTGAACCGTCTCTCACAACCTTCCTTCGGGAGAATTTTCCCCACTCGATGGCCAAATTCGTTAGTGAAAATGTTTTTAGCATCCCTGAGAGAAACCCGACCTTCGATTCCTTGTCACATTTACAACATTCCCCACGTGTTAAACACTCGGTACCTCCGCGACTTGCAGCTACCAACTGCACCGAAATATCTTGAATTTTCTTACTTCGTTTAAATTTTAAGCTAAAAATCGTCAAAATTTACGTTTTATTGATTCATAATCGTTTATAGGTCATAGCAACGTCAATCGATTTTAATTAAATTTTGTACATGCGTATAACATTCTTAGATCTAAATTTTTAGTAGAGTCGAATAAAAGATTAAAAAATTGTGCTCTTCATCTGTTTCTTCGTAAGAATTTTCCTATGGCAATTTTTTTTAATATTTTGTTATACATCGTGTCGTAAACTAATATGTCTAATACCTAAAAAGAAATTAATTCGTTAAAATCAATATTAAAAAAGTTATTCAATTTTGAGATATGTGCGATGTCACTGTATATTCCGGGCGTAACGGGTCATTATTTGCAAAGAAACAATGAAATAAAAAATTATTTGGAACAGAAAACGATAAACGATGTAGAATTTTCTTCTTACCTTCTTCCTTGAATATACTTTATTTTTAAAATATCTTACTAGACATACAAGTATAAAATTAAGTCATTTATTGTACACAAATTAGTTCTGCACATTCGATTTATCATTTTTTAAGTGTTAAATTTGAATTGAATTGTACGAAAATTAGACGGAAATTCAACGAATTTGGTGGTTGGAAAATCATTACTAACGATTTATCGTCTAATTCTGAAGCAGTTCATTTGTAATATTATAGATATATTAATTTTTTCGAAGGACAATATAACATAATCGGAGCTGAACAATAAATGAGTAATAGACTGCAGGTTTTTATCCAAAATAAAATATTTGCAATATCAATTTAGAAAGTGAAATCTATACCTTTTCATTCACAATTCAGAACTAATGATGTATATCATACTTTTCATATTATTCTCTTCAATTTTACACACTATATGTAGTCTTTATATTTTTTGTGCATTTAATTTCTCTGTACATGAATTAAATCCGCAATATGCTGATTAAAAACAATAACAATTTACAACTCCCGCTAGTTAATTTGAACCTTAAATATTAAAGAATAAATCGATCCTTTTAAATTATTGTTAGTTACTAATAATAAAGATGTTGAAATCAAAATACGTTCTCGTTATAGTAAAAACAGAAAATTTCTTTTGATTAATACTTCTACCTGAATAATTTATTACCTGATATTTGATATGTATTAATCTAATAATAAAAAATAAACTTCATTTCTTTCATTTTTGAAATTTCGACATGGAACCAATAGTTATGTTTTCTTTGCAGCGCATCCAAATGCTTCTGTCCAGAATTCTGGAGCAGCTACACGTGGAACAGGTGGAATGAAGGTGCGCTCGAAAAACTATGCTTCCCCAGATTGTGGAGCGAAAATCGTCGCAGCGAATGCAGAAGCACGAAGCGCAAGAAGCGTTCTGGTATCTACCAGAGACGAATATATGCTCAATACGTGTACATCGCGCATATGGTTCGTGGTAGAATTGTGCGAAGCAATCCAGGCAAAAAAGATTGAACTGGCCAATTTCGAGTTGTTCAGCTCATCGCCGAAGGACTTTTCAGTATACATCAGTGACCGCTTTCCTACCAGAGATTGGAGCCCGGTTGGTCAGTTTACCGCGAAGGACATGAAAGATATCCAGAGTTTCGCGTTACAACCGCAGTTGTTTGGAAAATTTATAAAAGTGGAGCTTCAAACTTACTACGGGTCTGAACACTTTTGCCCAATTTCCTTGTTCTGCGCTTACGGCACTAGCGAATTTGAAGTCCTTGAAACGGAAACCGAGAATCAGGCGCCGAGGGAAGTACATGCTCATGTGGACGATGAGGAGGATAGCGACGAGGAAGAAGTATTAGACACTCAAGACGGCGAACCGCCGAGAAATTTGTTCGGCAGCGCTAGAGACGCTGTGTTAAGTATAATGAAAAAGGCGGCTGAGGTGTTGGTAAAATCCAGCGATTTGACGTACAACAATATTACGAAAATCCAACAAAGCATAGACAGTGGTAACATTCTCCAGAATTCTTTCGTAAGCTGCACCACGCCGAGGTACACTATCCTTTGCGATAATTGCTCGGATCAGGAATTCGCGAAAATTTTCCAATTAGTCAGTTGCAGAGAACAACAACTGAATCAGTTGCTCAAAATTGACCTGGTTAACAGAACTTTGAAACAGACTGGACTTTGCAAGATGCATGGCGTGAGAGTCGAGGATTTCGCGACGAAGGGGATAGAAAATGTAAATACTGGACAAGAGAAATTCGATCAAACGCTTGGCACAACGAAAAATTTTCAGCTGACGTTCATAACGTCCATATTAAGATCCGAGTATGTTGCAGCGCTTTGTAATGTATTAGCTATAAAGGAACGTAAGATGGTAATGAATACAAGTCACGAGATTTTACTCAACTTTAAAGAGACTACAAAGGAAGATAAACAAAAAGAACTTAGCAGCGATGCCATAAAATCGGTTCACCATGTGACGACCACACGCAGTACGAATACAAATCTGGATACGTTCTCTCGTGATTCGAAGAAAAGTACTTTGGATTCACTCAATAGAGATGTTAATAAGTTTACTAATACGCCTATAGAAACTTCGTCCAGTTCCGAAAGCATACTTTCCCAAAAAAAACCTACTAAACTTTCTGAAAAAGAGGAAGTGAAGAACGATAGTCTGATTTCTACAGTGGAATCTAGCAAAGATAGTACGGAGGAAACTGTCAAGCCTGAAACAACAGTTAAGTCTAGAATAACCGTTCCAGTATCTTTAAACATTGGACAAAACCCAACTCCGACACCCGGAGACCAACACTCCGGAACCCAAGAACCGTTTTTTACTACTGGTACCTCTGGTGAGAGTTCTGTTCAACCGATGACGTCTCAATCGATTACTGATATCGATATCAATGAAATACCTACTAACGAGATCGCATTCGATATGGAATTCTCAGATACTAATATTCCGAACAGGGTGGAGAAGGTAGATCGTTTAGATCACGAAGGGAAACAAGGACAAACGGAATCATCAGAGAATGCTCAAGAAATGAAATTACCATCACAAGATGCTTTAGTATTCGATAATATATTGTCCGATTTAAAAGATTTCGAAGCAGAAGCTGTACATATTCACAATGGGCCTGCTACGAGTGCATCAGTGGCACAGTCGACAACGAATACCACGCCGCAGAAAGAGTCTGTTTTTCTAAGATTGTCCAATAGAATTAAGGTATGTATACGTAGTTCTATATAGAGTATAAAGTAAAACTGAATCAACACCTTTTAGAACTGAATAGCTTTCTTAAACTCGAAAAAACTGATCTGAGTTTTTTTAGTAGTTAGGTGGATTGGTTTAGTAAATGATATACAGGGTGGGGCAATAACTATTACCACCTCAAATATTTTCTAAACTGTAAGTTTTACAAAAATATTTCTTGCAACAAAATTGCACAGTACGAAGGGGGCCGTCCAGTAGTGATAATAGTTTTTCAGCAGATGGAGGTACTTCGGACATTTGAAGGTCACCGCCATTTTTTTTTAATGCATCGGTATATTTTTGATTCCGTATCATACTAGAGAATCTTAAAACGAATTCAACGACCTATAACACAAGGACATTGAAAGTCATATAAAGCAGAAAAAGGCGATAATTTTTACGGTTTTTGTAATAGATTACAGTGTTTTAATCGTGATCTCCTTTTTTTTATATCCCAGGTACTTGTAAGTTTGATTGCTTGAATAACGAATCTTGTCAGTTGGGAAAAATATAATGTTGAAATAAAGAGGAAGACAAAAAAATATTTTTTGTGAAATTGCTTTTCTTTGAACCTTTCCTTGAGTTTTAGATCATAAGTTTGTCCTTAAGAAAAGAAATCGTAGTAGTTATTAGTTGCGTTTTTAAATTATAACTTCTGTAATAG